GCACAAGCTGAAAGAGTACTCAGCACTGGAGACATGGAGGAGCTGAGCTTAAATAGTCCGTTTGGCGCCACAACACATGGCAGATGCGCGCTCGCGCACGCCATCTGCTGTGTGCGGTTTTCCTGACAGTATGGCACATGCCCTGGATGCCATTTGAAAGGGGGCACCGCTCCACTCCCATCTGGCTCTTAGCAACCAGAGATGCTGGGAGATGCTGCGACCAGAGTGTCAGAGTGTGTCAGGTGGCTCTAGCTGGTGTTCCACCCAGCTCCTGGCAACCAGTGATGTTACTGGTTGCCAGGAGCTAGGTGGGATGCCAGGGGTGCAATTTGTTGTAGATACGCCTTTGAGCATATGTGTAGCCAATATACTTTTCTGTTTTAAAATGCAAGGACCTAGTTGCACAAATGGAAATTGAACATTTCTGTATATTGTAACACGTTGCCTGCCATTATGTATATATATATATATCATCTCTAAATATAGTTTTCTGCCCATTCTCATTCTATTAGTTTACATTAAAAATGTATCTTAGCCCACTGCAGAAACGATTGTCCAGGACCACAGTAGCAGAATGGTTAAATAGCTCTATTAATCTATGTTATTTCTTCCTACTGTCCCTTTTATACATTTACATTATGATCTTTGTGTGTAACAGGTTATCTTTGACTCTCCAGCCAGTGCTCAGTAACATTTTCAAGCGTGCTGTGCAAGCCAGTGATGTCCCAGTGCAGCATTTGTCCTTTGGATATGTGTAGTGAATAAGAAAAGAATGTCTAGTCCTTTAGAAGTGAATCAATGTAATGTGCAGAGTTTGATATTAGCTGTATAGTGAATCAATTTAACACTTCCTTTGAGGCCAAATGCAGACAATCGCCGTGACATTTATGTGTTTGTGTACATGGGGCTGTACAATATTTCCTCTCCGAGTAAACACAATGAATTAGTCGAAGTGCTTCGGATATCAATGAAAATGATTGTTTGGCAACCCTTAAAACTTGCATATATAAATTATAATTCTAGCATGTCATTTCTAGGCACTGGCTGGTACACTTGGGAGAGTGTCCTGTTACATTGATATAAAATAATGTACGGTATAGATAGCTTTAGGCTGTGTGTGGATGTGACCATTAAACTGCAGAAAAGTATTCATATTTAAAGTAGATGTAACCGAATCATATGTAGTTTGCTGATTCACCGTGTATCCTTTGTTGCATCTCAGTGCTGCATATCTACTGCAATTTTTTTCAGCCTCTTCCTGTCTACATGCATTTACTCTAGCGGAGGCCATATTGCTTTTCTCAGGGCAGGTTTCCTGATGATGACAAGAGTGGACCATGCCTGTGTACTGTGTGCTAAAACAGCCATTTGTAGTCTCCATTGCAGTCCTGTGTGATTGGGTGAAAAGAATTGGTACAGTGTGACAAAACTTTGTCACCCTATAACTGGAAGTGCCTGAACAATGACAGGATGACTAGGTATTATTTAACGAAAGCTGCAGATTTACTTTTAAAATTATAATAAAATATTAAAGTTATATTAGATATAACCTACTGCCATACCCCCAGTGATGAGATCGGTGTCCACTCCTGTTCCCTATCTGCTTGTTGTTCTTTTTTCTCTTTCCATGAACCTGCAAACTTTTCACCCAAAAGTTTGCAATTCACAAACTTTGCATATCCCAGGAAGAACCCATTGTAGAGGCCAACCTCATCTCTTATTTGCATACCTAAATCATTTTTAAACATATTTTTAAGGACAATTAGTATAATGTTGACAATACAGTATAAGGTTGATATTTGGTACACTTTTATTTCAAAACCCTGTTTGTATTATGGGCTGCAAATGCCCACAAATGTAAAAAACCTGTTTTACATTCTTTCTATTTTAGAGTAAGTTGGTGTACATCTGCACTGATGACTGACCTAACCTGATCTATCTTAACCAGCCAGCACTAAATAAGTGTCAAATAACCACGTAATAGTCAATAATTCAAAATAACAGTGTGTGCATTAATAAATAAAATACTTTCAATGATTCTAAAATGAATACAATTTGTGAATAAAGTGCTATGTGCAATTATTCAACCTATTCATCTATATCCTGAATTTTGATATAATGCAGTGCATTTACAATACATAAATTAAACTTACATATGATCAACATATACTGTATATGGACACAGAATATAAATCCACATAACCATTATTTGAACATATACGAGACCTTCCTGTGATTCCAAACCTAAAGAGGAACTTTACCCATATCTTCAAAATAACAACAAAGGCACCTTTAGAAATGTTTAGTAATGACAATCTACAAGCACATACTTCTAGATAATTGCCGGCTTTGTATTCTTTGTATACTTTATTTTTTCCCCTACTCATTCTTCTTACAGTGGCCATTTTTACTAAGGGCAGATTATTCCATCTCCCTTTACGTCCTGGAACTCTGGCACATGTGACCATGCACACAATCTCAGGGGAGTAAAATGTCTTTCCCTGAGCTCTCCTAAGATTACAAATAAGATTTCCCAGCAATGCTCTGCTGATCCGATCTTCCCAGGATGCAATGTTTGGGCACATTGCATCACTTTTGCCACCAGGAACCAGAAAGTAGAAAACAAGAAATTGTAAAATGAAGATATGTTTGTTTAACTAATGAATGTAAGATGATTTCATATCAGCACGCATAGCTGCATGCTAATGTGATCTTTAGCCAAAGGGGTATCTTATCTACTTCTAGATAGTGAGCTGTAGCTCGTGATATACTGAGCTTTGGGTCACGGGAGGACACTAGTTTATGTCTTCCCGTGACCCTTAACAGAACTATGGGGGAAAACACTTGCCCCATAGCTCTCTTTTAAAGGATATGGCTGATGGCTCTCAAAAAGTAGAACATACATTAATATACAGATTGAGGGTGGGATGAGGTTAAAGGGAGTGATTTACTAAATACAGACAGTTTGCTTACCAAAGTGAATGTGCACTGAGCTTAGTAAATAAGTTAGAGCTATGTTCACTTCACTCAACCATATCATCATATATTACTATAGTTAATCATATGCCAGCAAAAATGTTGTTATTTTAATTTTGTTCACACACGATTGGATATTCAGAGTGAACACAGGTTCACCCTATTTACTCTCATTCACTTTTTCAAGTGAAGATTCACCTTGCTAAAAAACCCCACTGTCTGCTTTGTTAATGTGGAAAGAAAGAACAAAACTAAATGCTGCCTTTGGGGCAAATGTTACTAAACCAGATTTGTGAAGGATATCATCCTTTATTTCCCTGCTTCTTACATGGGGTTAAATATTCCTGTAAGGTGGCCTTTATGTTTACTTGCTTTGAAGATAAAACTGAATTTCAATGGTTGTTAGTACAACTTGTAAAAACCTCACTTTTACCTATGCTCTAGGATTTTGTGATTTCATTCCAGGATTTATTCATTTGCCACTTGTCCAAAAAATAAATATGACTTCAAACTGTATTGTCTGATGGTTAGCAGGACCGGCTGTTTTTTAACACAATTTCCAATCTGTAGCAGTATTCATTTCTGTTACTTTGCACTGTTCACAGTTATATTTTCCAGATGAAAAGAGAGGTAAAGGTACCACTGTAGAAGTGTAAGCAGTGTGAATATGATTTTTGAACAGATACTGTATGTGGGGGAACGCAACAGGCAATCAGGGCCAGTGCAAGGATTTATTCCTACACAGGCGAAAGTGCATTTTTGTGCCCACCCTGAGCCTTCTCAGGCGGCTGCTTCAAAGAAAGTTTTAAAAAAAGTTAGAAAAAAAACATTTTTGGTTTCGGTTTTGGCCTGATATTTTATTTTTCATTTCGGTTTTCAAACTTCCTTTTTGGTGCACCTCTAATTTTTTAACTTTTTTATCACTTTATTTTTTTAATGTCATTTTTTTTACTTTATTAAATATGTATTTATCTGATTATCTTTTTATAATTTTTTTATCTTATTTTTCTCATCAAAAGGATCCCTGCCGCTGCTCTGCTCGGGTCTTCATACTGGCGCTGATCACACCTCTCTGCGCTCTCTCTCTTCTCTCCTCCTTGCCGCTCTGAAGCTGCAGCGACCAAGAGTAGAGAGAGAGAGGGAGTGCAGAGAGATGTGATCGCCGCGACCTTCTTAAGGGCCTGTTCACACGACGTCAGGTTTTCTGTGCTGACCTGATCCGTACGCTCCTGCACTAAAAATGAATCCCAATGTATCCCTATGTGTTATATGGGCTACAGTTCTCACGTGCGCAGTCCGTTCAGGTTACGACAGAAAAATACTGCATGTCACATTTTGTACGGTCAGGAAACGGTCCGGAAACGCAAAACGCATCAAAAACGCACTGCACTGCAGCTAACATACTGACAGCCCCACTCCAGCCAAGAAAAAAAATTAAATATTTTTTTAAACTGCAACGCAGCAAAAACGCGGCAAAAACACATAGCACATAGGACCTGAAACTCATGTGAACAGGCCCTAAAGGGGCAACCTCCCAGTCGCATCTTTCCGCCCCCAACAGCGGCGCCCTCAGGCAGATGCTTGACCTGCCTATATGGTAGCGCCGCCCTGCAGGCAATGTCACAAAAAGCAAAGTTAGGTCTTTGTTGGATGTTCCTTTCAGTGTATTCCAGGCTGTACACAGTACACTCTATTGAACACTTGTTCACACCTCTGACTTTGACATGAAGCAGACAGATGCAAGGATGGTTCGACTTTGAACCATCTTTGCATCTGTCAGCTTCATGTCCTGGTACAAGAACAGGCCTCAGCACAGGTGTGTGAACAAGTGTTCAATAGAGTATTCATGTCTGTACACTTTGAAATGTCCCTTGAATATTACTTGTGCTTATAATTATCATCAATACTCAGTGGAATAGTATGGAAATCCATGGCTAATAATTATAATTTTTGTGGGTAGCTGCTTTTAATAATGATCGGTAAAACAGAGGATTGCTGTACATGAGAGTATAATGTTGGCTCACCTGATTGGAGCAGACTCATCTCCTTTCTCCAGCCAATCCTGAGGAGGAGTGATGTACATGCACCATAAGCCCCAATTATATCCATGGGCTGCATTGGCATACTGTTGTACCTCAAATGTGTTGTACTTGATGTTGTCAATTGCTGGTAAAATGATTTTGCTTCGATCTTCTTTGATCCTTGTAATAACAGGTTCGGCCCTAAATAGAAAACAATTAATAAAGATGGTTAACATTTTTGAGGATCTGGCTGACCCAAACACCAGACTATATTACATGGCATCTAAACTTCATCATATAGCAGGGGGAGGCTCTCTAGATTCCACTGACACACTGCAGCATCTCCTTACTCACTGTTCTCAAGAGATGCCCTGGAGATAAATCTGGAGGCTGAGCATTTTTATTTACTTCCAGCCTACCTTAATCATGAGAACCTTTACCAAGAAGGGGTTCTAAATTCACCCCAGTTCTTGCAAGGTGAAATATGGGATACCAAAACAGAGATGTTTCCAATACTTACAACTGTCTCATGCATTGCTGTTGCAGTCCAAACTCACATTGACACCCCTTTTACTAACACATGTAGTTAATGTAGAGCCCAAACAAAGTCTAGTTTCTTCTGTTTATAAATGCTTATACTTCAAACAATGAAGAGTCTGTCCTTACCATGTAGGAAGGGATGGGACATGATCTGATGTTCTCTCTGTTGTACCCGAAGTATCTATATACCCAACTAAAAAACTCAGAGATAGCTGAAGAGGTTGGGGTAGGGAGTTCCAGGGGGTGGAGGAGACTCTGGAGAAGTCCTGAAGGTAAGCATGGGAGGAGTTGTCGAGGGATCTAGAGAGCCAGAGGTCTTGGGATGAGTGGAGATGACGGTTAGGGTGATTTTGAGACGAGGTTGGAGATATAACAGGGGGAGTAGTTGTGGATCACTTTGCAAGTGGTAGTTCATATTGTCAATTTTATTCTATTGGTGACTGGAAGCCAGTGGGAGGGATTGGCAGAGAGGAGTTGCAAACACTGAGCGGTTGGTAAGGTACGTACTTAAGTGTATAGCCCACAAACGGATATCACCCACTGTTAATGTCATTATTCAACGAGAACACAGAGGGTGTCCAGGGAAATTTATATAATGTTGGGGAAAATGGGAACACCTCAGGCCTGGCTCCTCCGCAGTTAATACTACATAGGATTTTGGATTAAATAAACTTAAATATACTCCACATACTTCTAAGTGAAGTGTAACTAAAATGAACACACAGACATGGGGAAGTATGGACTGAAGATACTGTACTTTATTCTAGCAAAATAAAAACAGTTATTATGCATATTGCAAATGGTAAGGTTCAGAGAGTAAAGGTTAATACATGCCAATAGATACAATACAGATTTGTTACTAGATATCTCAACATTTCCAATTTGTGATTGACAATACATCTGTGCTGTTATTTCTGCTATATATAAAGAAAGACATATGGAACCATAATTGTTTATGATTGATGGCTTTGTTTGTTAAATATGGAGCGGTGTATGGAGGGCACAAAGAAACGAGAACGCTGTCTGTTTATACCTTGTCTAATCTGCAGAACCTCAATAATAAATCATATGATCCAAAAAAAGATGAATACTATGTTAACAGTAGCAGTGTTTTCTGTTCGCAGGGGCGCACTGGGGGGCACGCATGAGCAGAAAAAAAAAGCTGTATATTTATGGTGCCCCCCTGGAGGGAGCTTGCCGTCCGTCGGTTTATTTACAACGGGCGGCGGCAAGTAGTTAAGTGTTCAAACTTGTCTAATCTGCAGAACCTCAATAATAAATCATATGATCCAAAAAAAGATGAATACTATGTTAACAGTATCTGTTAAATTATGGCAGTCAGTCCCACCTTAAAATGGGTATCTGTGCCACCATCATTTGCAATAGATAGACAATCAGACTAGATTGGGTATAGTCATCTTTTATAAGAATAGGTGAAAGAGTGTATTAGAAATCGTAGGTCCATATAGAATTGCAGTACGTAGAATCAGACTACATTGGGTGTACCCATCTTGTATCTGAATAGGTAAAAGGGTGTATTAGAAACTGTATGTCCATATAGAATTGCAATAGATAGAATCAGACTAGACAGGGCTTAGCCATCTTGTATCAGAATAGTTGAAAAGGTGTATTAGAAACTGTAGGTCCAAGAAAAACTTGAGTTGCCCAGCTGTGCTCTACAGAGTTTACACATTCATTACAGGCAACAATTGTTGTAGGCTATACAAAATATGAGCATAGGAATATACTGAGAATGAATAAACCAATGGTCAAAGTACTGCCACTAGTAATAATTAAAGCCTTATGAACATATATGATTCAGACATGCAGGTCAAAATTTTCCAGTTTGAATCATGTATTAGTGTTTCAGAATAAAGGACTACCTACCTACTACTACAAACACCAAATAAGATTTTAATTCTGCATCAAATAATATACACTTCACTACAGGAGGCCCAATTTTACATGTAATAACATTTGTTGTCTGTTTAAAGCTAAACTCCAGGCAAACAGCTAAGTACACTGTTGAAATACATACTGTATATGTGACCTGTTTTACCTGACAAAAGTTTTGTTATTTTATGTCTCTTCTTTTCTGACCCACATATCCCTGTCAGACAGCACGGTCAAGTCTTTGGCTTCCACTGTAGCAGCACAGCTTGGTGAAAACCAGACCTCGGCCTGCTTATTGAACAGTGAAGGAGAAGCAGTGCATTAATGAGGGCACCCCTCTGCTCATTGTGTTCTCCCCTTATGTCAGCATGTTCGCAGTTAACAATGTAGACAGTGGCAGAGGCAACTAAGCCGATTGACTGGTTGATTCAGTGGTTCGTCCGAATCCAAAACAAAGAATTTACTATATGCCCGTATATACGAAGACTATATTCAGGTATATGTAAATTTGTTTGCAGAACACGCAGCCATATTGGCTGCCAGCACGTTCTGCACATGTGCGCCACCATCTTGGAGGTAAAGCGAATGACGTCACATGACACTGTGCGTGTGCGATGTCGGTTGACGTCATACGCATGTTTGGGCACCGCCACCTGGATGTGTACATGTATATATACGCTCTGCAGTTTCAATGTGCAGTTTCGGATTCGGAGGCTCATTTCCTCCGAACCTGAAACAGCATACAAATTTGTTTCATTTGACAAAACAAATGAAAATGTTTTTAGTTTTCATTTGTTTCGTCCAAAATATTTTTTTAAACCGTGCACATGTCTAGGCCCTACCATTCCCTGTCTGAATTCTTCTGCACAGGGGATTATAATTAGCTGATATGAAGACAGATAACAGGTACGGATTGTATTTTTATCGCATACAATTTTTATATCTGCTTGGAGTTCTTCTTTAAAGTGCATAAGGCAAAAACTTTTTCTAGTTTTGGATAGAGTGGGGAGGAATTAGAACTCCTGTCAGGTTTTACTGCTCCATTAAACAGTTGAAGACTGGGGTGGTAAACCCCCTTCCTGTCCAGGCCATTTCTCATTATTCAGCGCTGAAGTACTTTTATTCAGTCATGCAACGCTGTACTGAAATGAATTGTATACCATTTTTTGGGGACAGATAGAGCGTTCCTTTGGTGGTATTTAATTTATTTTTTACTATATTACCAAAAAATTTGAAGAAAAAAAACTGTTTCCCCTACATTATATGTTATGAAACATGTATCACTAACCTCAGGAACCATAATATACAGGGGTACAAGTACTCTTAAGATTGAGAACACACAGGGACCTATACATACTACACACCAATAGGACCATACACACATACACAAATAGGTTGGACTTGATGGACATTTGTCTTTATTCAACCTCAAATACTATGTAACTATGCAAACAGTTTTTTGGTAAAATATAAAAGATGGGGTCACGTTGTGCAAATACATCAAAAGTCTTGTAGCACTGCTTACCGGAAATCCCAAAGAGGTTAAACGGGTGCTCGAAATTACAGCGGATGGCGCCACACATAGAACAACTTTAGATGTAGACGTCACCAGCACACCCGGCATGACAAAAACACATGGGTCAGTGCGAATCCATTTAATGATGTGTCACTCGGAAAATCGGAAGATTTTCCGAGTGACACAGCATTAAATGGATTTGCACCGACCCATGTGTTTTTGTTGTGCCGGGTGTGCTGGTGACGTCTACATCTAACGTTCTGTAAATACATAGACAGCAAACATGTTAAGCCTTAAAAAGGAGGGGGGAAGCACACTGCTGGGCACTATACAAACAATCGGACGGCTATAGAGCCACCTGACCTCTTGTATGTAACAGCCGTAATTGGCTGTTTACAAGTAGCAGTGTTTTCTGTTCGCAGGGGCGCACTGGGGGGCTTGCCATCCATCCGTTTATTTATAATGGGCGGCGGCAAGTAGTTAAGTGTTCAAACTTGTTTGTCAGAGTATTGGATCTTGCCATCATTGAGTCAACTCATTTTGTTCAACATTTCTAAAAAATTTAGTCCAGACCTGCTGCTTGAATGGATGTATTAAACATGTTTCTTGTGTGCCTAGCACATGCACATAACAATATGTACAATTTTTACAGAATGAAAATCACATTCACAGTTATACTTTCGTTCATTCAGATAACATACAAGAAAAATGTTCCATCCAACTCCTTTGAAGTGGAGCTTTATCCCCTTTCACTAAAAATCACATCAGCATGTAGCTCTGGATGCTGATATGAAATCACCTTACAATCATTAGATAAAGAACATATTTGTCAATTCCGGTTTTTCCACTTCTTGATCCTCTTAAGCATTAGTGATGCAACCCATGCCTAAGAGATGCATCCTGGGAAGGTTACAGCAATACTGTAGTACAGTATGAGCACTTGAAACTATATTATTTTTTTTCTGATATTTCAGGTTTATATTTTCAAATCTCCTTGCATCTCCTTGTAACATTTGCAAACAGAACGTGTATAAATGAGATAGATCTCTGTATTGGAGGGATTCATTGTATGTCTTCAACAGATATAGATTTGCCATAAAAATCTCCATTAGCAAGTAGCTATAAGGGCATTTGATGAACAATACTTACACCGATGCATTTCCAGATAAAGAAGCTGCAATAAATGCGATGAGATGAATCTATTTGCTCTTATTATATGCTGTAATTCAGGCCAAAATAACATCTCTGTACA